TGAAACGTTGGTTAACATCGACCAGACTACACGGCTTAACAACCCAGAAGACGGAAATCTTCAGTCTCACCGCCGTGAAAACCCAAAATCCTACTTCATTTATTTTTCCCTGCGCGAACCGTGAAAATTTCATATCTCCGCAAAGATTAGAAATGTGATCAGTGTTGTATTAGCAATTTTCACTAAAATGACTTCCCGATATATCGCATGCCTTTCGTGAACGTAGCGTGTATACAAAATGGTGCAAAAGCCAGGGGAATATTGAAATAAAAACTTTATTAAGTATGAAGATGGACGTCGCTCGATCTTTTTGAACGGTACTTGTTGACTGGCGGCTATAAATTTCTTCTAACTTAAAATGTCACTTTCGGGCAGCTCAGCTATTATTAGGCCAATGATCACAAGACAAGAGACGTAACTATATGGCAGACATCCCAAATTAGTGATGGTGCGAAGTCTATAAATAATGCAACTACGTAGTTCTGGTGTTGACGCGGGGGCGAAGCTCTTTTGTTTACATCACTCAGTGATTGCACCTTCGTCTTTTTACGAGGAGTTCAATTTTTTCGAGGTTTAATGTTTATTTGGCTGTCATAACGTAGACTGTGATCTTCTGGTCCCTTAACCGGAATGGAAGACAAAGTTTATGATATGATGATAACAGATCCTTCGAAAATTTGGGAGAATTAAAGAAACTTGAAACGACATAAAGACATTTAAAACCGAATTAGTGAAATGTTGAAGGGCAGACTTCAAACCATGAAGTTTGGAAAATTGTCTTCCTGGCTTAAGATCATACATTTCTCTCTAATGTTTGTGACAAGCTCATTTATGCCGACTTATAGCTTCTTTTTTATAGCCACGGTGGTTTAGCGGTTAGAACGCTGGCTTTGTAATCCTGGGGTCGTATATGAACAGGTCCCAGTCCGAGAAAAGGATGGAAGGATCCTGTTCATATGGACCTGTCGTCAGACAGAACACTAAATAAATAAATAAAGTAGCTTTTTATCTTGTATATAATTTCGTCTGTACTCCACCAACGTTTAAGGAATAACAATATCTGTTTTGACTTCATGCAATTACGAGAATTGAATGATGCACACAGTGTCACATAGTTGATTTTCTTTTAAAAATTTAATCGAACCCGGGAAATTGCCTTTTATTTCTGAAAGTTCGTCATTTAAAATGTCTAACTTTTCAAGACGTTCCATTCGGACAGTGGATTATGTTATCGTGGCATTTTTTGTTCGTTTCGTGATCCACAGCTGCTATTCTGTCTTTGATTTTCGTGTTGTCCTGTAACTTCTTCTTACTTGGCACTACAACACAGTGTGGATTCTTCGCCTCCTCCTTTCGGAGATTTCTCAGTCTTCGAAGTGTGCATTTATGAGTAGTGAGTGACTCGTCCACTAACTATGCACAATTTCTACTCAATCCCGAATTTGTCTGCTAGAGCCATCTATCAATGAAGCAGAGAATCAGGAGAGACTTGGGTGAGAAATGGCGGCTGAATTATGCTTACGAAACATCTCGTATCATGCTCATAAGGTTCTTTTACATGCCGTGAATCTACGACATGGGACCTCCATCTTTACTTCCCCTCCAAAGGAAGTTGTGATACGGATTTTTATCACCCTTAAAAATCCATCGACCTCAGCCGGGTTTGAACCCGCGAACCTTTGGTCCAGTGGCGAGCACGCTAACTACTAGCGACATCTCTTATTCTCTACTTTATCTGTTCGTGTAAGCCCTGCAACCACTATTAAACTGCCCTTAGTAGTCTGAAAGCTAATTGCGCAATGACGTAGCACTTGGCATACTTACAAACTTTGCGTTTAGATGTCGCATATTTTTTGTACAAATAGTTGCTACTCCCCAGGAATGTTTTATGAGACGTTTTACAAAATAATGTTTATGTTTATAAATAAATTTCAACAAGAATGAAAGTGGAATTTGAAATCGTTCACACATTAAGCAGTTTACAATGTATGAACCAAACAAAAGTACATCAGAGCTTTTATGTTGTTTAAATAGTTTGATTTAACATCACTCAGTGATAGACGCAATTGCATCCCAGCCAGCCGTTTGCTTTCTCCCTTCTGCGAGTGACGGCAGACAGCCCTGGGTTATTTTCGCCGTCATTTTCATTTCTTCCGTGACTGAGAGCCTTTCGCTCGTGCATGACGCCACTCGCGGCACAAACCGCAAACTATGGTCTTCGTGAGTCGACAATCGAAAGGAAGAAAGATATTCTTTCGACTATGCGTGAGTCGACAGTCGAAGTTTACTTCCGGCTGAAAATCGGCGGAAAGAAATTGAAGTATACAATTAAATCATTTAATACTTAATTTCAGTCACTTTTGGTTCGATGTAAACATCTTGGGGAGGGAAGTTAATAATAAATTTTAAATTAAATTCTAGGTAAATAAACGCGAAGAAGAAGTTAAGCCCACGAAAAAAATTATCTATTTTATTAGATTTATTATTCGAATTCATATCAAGCGTATTGAAAAGGAAAGTACATGGTCACAGGTTTGTATCCTACTTTTTTGGGCAGATTCCTTGCAACAATTAAAATATTAGCGGAAATAATGATAATATCTGTAATATTTTTAAGTACGAATATATTATGGACTTGCTGGTTTAGGGAAAACTTATTACACCCATTTAAGTTCACATTTTGTTTACGTCGAATAGGCTAGGTAACCTGAAACTTTAAAGTTTCGCCCTATCGCCATGTCTGTAACTCTTTACTTAGAAAATATGTCATTTATAAATTATATTTGTAGCCCAATCAATCTTTATACCATATCAATATCATGCTTATAGCTCGAGTGATCCATTAGTTACCGCTACCAAACTGTAAGCTAAATGAAAATTTCACACAACTGTAATGTCGTTTTGTAGTAGCAGCCGTCACCAAATTGTGTTCTTCAAGGCCACAGATTGACTTCACCACTCCCCTCACATACTCCTTGGCCCCTAATCACCAGCACAGCGTTGCTAACTTTGCTACCCTGCGAGTACCAAACTGTCTTCACTCGCCTGGGCTCCACTGTTCGTGTTGTAGCATTGTACGATTTTCTGTGACCTTGAAACATGCAATTTGGTGACGGCTACAATTGATGTAGAAAAGTTAAACGAGTTGAAGTTGAAGAGGCCTCCAATGGTATAAGTTTCATACCAAATTTTGTGAAAATTGTTCAGTTTATTCGAAAAAGTTGAACGGGACACACACACCCACGAGACAGCATGTGATATTTTATGCCAAACTTTTCCTTTACGAAGAAAAATCTTTAAGAACATCATGAGGAGGCAATTAAGGGGTGGGATGTTGGATCGTGAAGTCTAGTATAAATTGACCCAACACAGCGTAAGCTTGGGCCATCGAATTCAACACCAGTACACCAACATTCTATCGGTCCCCTGGCGTCCTTGGTAAGAACTGCAGTTCGGACGTATTCTTTTATTTCTTGAATCAAACTTGTCGGTCGGTTTCTACGAGACTGCACGATGTCACATCCCACAAGACAATCATCTTCATACTCTCCGGCGCCGTGAGATCCCGAAATCATCTAAGGGAATCTTGCATTTCCTATAACTTGAAACTTAAAACTTATCTTGTCGTCAGAAGGATAATGACCTGTTAGGTTTGTGACGATGTTGTGGTTAGTCTCTTGAATGTCCTGTGCGGGTCTTTAGTCTTTATTATCCTTAATACCGACGCGAGATTTAAGCGGAATAAGAAAGGTTTCTGGTGCTTAACAATGCTCGGGTGTGGCGGAGAGTTGGTACAAGCGGAATAAGAAAGGTTTCTGGTGCTCAACAATGCTCGGCTGTGGCGGAGAGTTGGTATCTATGCAGAAAATGTTGCCAGGAGTACCAAAAACAAGTCTATTTATACACTTTATGCTCCCGTCACATATATTTTACAGTGCGAACAATAGACTCATTCTTATGAAGAATTTTGTAAGAGGATTCATTCCCAATTCAGCCTAAAAGTACTGAAATACACAAAATTGAATGTGGTGTAACAAATTCGACTGATTTATTATAGGCGAGGCTTTGATTTATGGCGGTTTTTCGGCAGTGCCTAATGACGTCATACTGATCTTAGAAAACAACAAAATATAAAGAATTAAAATTTTTTAATAAAACGCTTGAAAATGAAGATGATTTTAAGTCTGTATGCTCTTGTACTTAATGTGCTTCAAACTCATAATTTCAATTACGTCTCTTAAAATTTAAGGGATCACTACTTTTTTGTTAGGAGCTTAAAGTGTACACTATCTGTGCCCTTAATTACATCTTTATATTCTTGTACAACATCGGATTTCGGGAATAGAATGTTGAAAATTATCAGAAGTTTTAGCAAACATTTCAGTTTCCATCTTCAGGGTTAATATCTAACGGGTGGACGTTTTTGAAGGTTAGAGTTTCCATCTTCAGGGTTAATATCTAATGTTTGGACGTTTTTGAAGGTTATTATGTGATTGCCAACCTTCGCTAGCGGAGAAGGCACTCGAAGAAGGAAATAGAACAGGCAATAGGTGGCGAGATGAATTTTACTGCCTACACAACATAAAGTTTCTAAAAACGCACAGTAATTACATATCAATCATGAAGATGGTAACTGAAATATTTGCCGAAACGCTGGTTAATTTTCAATGCCGCTTATCTCTGAAAGCCGAAGCATACAGCTTAAGCTTAAAAAAAGGACGCTTCAGTTCTGGCAAAGAAAGTTTAATTCGTGAGATGTCTTAAGCTTTTGCAAGAAACCTTGACCTTATAGTAAATATGATGATAGGGCCCTCATGCAGCAGCAGTAGCAGTACGGACTCTGCAGCATCTAGCCCAGCCTTGAGCAATAATCCGGCGCTGGGGCTCGACCCATACGACGACAGCCCACCGAGCACACTGACATGGAGCGGCCGTGTCACTCCACCTGCAACCACAATACCGCGCTTCAGGAAGTACACTGTGGAAGACTTCCAGTTCCTCAAAGTGCTCGGTAAAGGCAGCTTCGGAAAGGTATAGTCTAAAAGTTGTATATATTTTGTATCCATCTTGGGAGGCAACTGGAAAACCTAATTTTCTTGGCATGAAGTCGTCGAGGATTCAAAACCTTAAGTATAAGATATATTATGATATGTGCCACATTTTAGAACAAAACTATCTACGTAGTTTTTCAGGTGTGAAGTATCAGTGCTGATCTGTGGACCTCAAACATACTGACAGAACACCAAATCAAATGTAACTGTTGAAGAGACGAAAAGTACACACACTACAGTAAAGTTGGTTTAGGCGTTCTTGGCACAAAGTGCCCAAAATGAGCACGTAATAATAGGGATATGTGTATTTTATTTCCGAAATCACTCGTAGGGGGGGGGGAGAAATTTCAATAAAATTTCTGTGATGGTGGCCTGCAACAAAACTTGTCTACTATAAATTTTCAGTTCTGTGCTATTGGTTAAATTAAACAAAATCGATATTTATCCCTTCCTAAGGGGTAAAGTGTAGTCAGAGTGTGGCACTGACCATTTACCCCATCTAGTGTTAAGGTCAAGAATGAGTTGGAGCTATTCATTTTCTCCCCCCATGCACACCACCAAGAGTGTGAAATGACATAAAGATACGTTTTTCCTAAGGTTCAGTATAATATATCGAATTTGTGGAAAAATTTGTCTTATGTTTATCTTATTATGTTGCCAGGCCATTAATTAAGATATTTATGAATGTGTAAAGAGAATTAAGGACTGGAAATAAAAATGACATTTTAGAAATGAAATCACCTGTTTGTAAATCTTAGTAAGACATAGTACATCTATGAATATTGGAATGCTTATGTTTTATGTACTGAAATTTAAGCGTAAATTTAGGTTTGAACTTAAGAGCCTTATTTTGTTTGCTGTGGGTTTACCTCAATATTTTCTGCATCTGTCACCATAGGTTCTGCTGGCAGAATTGAAAGGCACCGAGTGCTATTATGCCATAAAATGCCTCAAGAAAGATGTGGTCTTGGAAGATGATGATGTAGAGTGCACACTGATAGAAAGAAAAGTCCTGGCACTGGGAACAAAACATCCATATCTCTGTCATCTGTTCTGCACATTTCAGACAGAGGTAACAGAATTATATAATACAAAAGAGTGATATCTTTTTCAGACAATGAATAAGGAAGATGAGAGTCAGAAGAGAAAGAGGAGAAAGGAGGGAGGAGTAGAATGAAAAGAAGAATTAAGAAAAAAAGTAGGATAGAGTGAGAAGATATAAAGGGTTAAATAACAGGAGGAAAGTGATCTGAAATTCACATTTACACAAAACACATTCCTCTCTGACCTTTCACTAAGCTGCAGCACAACTGCTGGTGATGAATATAACTAACTAGATGGCTTACCGAACCCGAAGATTCATCACCGAATTAACCAAAGCCCTCCACCGGACCCTGTCCTGGGCCAACAAAATCCAGTTGCCTTCAACTCCTATCTCCCATAGATCCCGCCTGAGATTATCCTCCCATCTACGTCTAGGTCTCCCCAGCGGTCTCTTCCCCTCAGGCTTCCCAACCAATACCCGGTGCACACCTCTTGTAAGAGACTCCTAATGTTCCAAGTTCCAAATCTCATATCCTTTCTCAGTGCCAAAGAGTCCGTCCTGCTCCTAGGCTTAGTTAATGTGTTTCTAACAATGCTTTTTTTTATGGTGAAAGGTTGTTAGCCTTACGCCCAACCTCCAAGCTGGAGGACCACTCCTCAACCGCTGTCCGCTACTGCTTATTCAATATATTTGCAGCTAACCTCCTTACCTGGAGGCCGTCCCTCTATCCACAACTTGAGGACACGCCATGCGGTGGTATGAGTAACCTCTACCATACATGGGGTGATGAATATAAGGAATCTTAATTGTGAAAAATTACAACAAAAATTATAAAATTTTCCACTTCTTACGCTTTACTTTTCCAGTTATTATTGCATTTACACTTAAATCCAAACTGTGACTGCTAAGAAATTCTTACTACATGAAAAATATCCCAGAAGAATACAAATGTTTTTGCATGATCCTAGCGTGGATTTTGTCCTGCAGTAAAAAAATGCCACGTATTTCTCTTCTGTTGCCAGAGTTATAGACGCTTGGTTTCTACAGTGCTAATGTTATGTTGTTCATATTTTCAGTCCCATTTATTCTTTGTGATGGAATACCTCAATGGTGGTGATCTGATGTTCCACATACAACAAAGTGGGCGGTTCCCAGAACCAAGAGCCAGGTTCTATGCTGCGGAGATAGTGTCTGGGCTGAAATTTCTTCATAAGAAGGGTGTGGTTTACAGGTAAGAAAAACACTGAAATTTATTTGAGCTAAAACAAAATGTTGCCAGAATCCTGTGCGTCATTTACAGAATTTTTGGTTAGGATTGTTGTTGGTAACCTGTTCAAATATCTTGTAGTGTAGTTGAACATCTATATCAGTTTTGTAGAGTGGTACATTAATAATAGATGACATATATGAGACAGGAGTTAAAAATTTCGGTACTTGTGGGTGGACACATCACTTTAAAAATAGGTTAGGTTAGGTTAGGTTGGATTAGGTTAGGTTAAGTTTAGGTTAGGTTGTGATAAAACTATATTTCAGTGATAGAGTGAAATGGAGGTGCGGTAAACAATCTTGCAGAACAACAACCTAACCTAACCTATTTTTAAAGCGATGTCCCGATAACCCACAAGTACCAAAAGCTCTTTTGTGGGGAAACTTGACATAAATGTGAAAAGCGAGGCTGCAGAATGAAATTGTGTGGATGGTGGGGAGAATGTTCCGAAGTCTTCCTTATCTGTGGAAATTCCTTTGGTATGTCAGGCAACCGTAAACACTCATTGCCAGCAAAGGTTATCACATTTTTACGAACAGAATTGTTAGATGACTTGAGAATATACTGGAGAAAGTACTATGACAGATCAAGGGAGACGTGAAGAGACTTTAATGATGTAACTTACTTCCATGGTCTCAGTATAGCTAGTAGTTTGAAAAGAGTAAGAAGAAAAAGTGAGAAAGCTCATTTGTTTGAAATAGGGAAATTAATGATGTTACATTGAGTTATGATTTGTATTTCACTATTTAATTTATGAATTTGTATGACATCACTTTGTCTGGTAACACTGGACGTAGTTTTGTTTGTTTGGAATCTTGTTTTGTGTTTGAGACTTCATGGTCATTTAAGTTGGTTTGTGTACTCCAGACAGCATATGCTTGCATGCGTGATGGGTTAGCATAATCTGAGACTGGGATGTAATTCAGAGAAGGATGTGTGACATTCTTGCTTCATTGCAGCGTCACTGACATAAATGTCATCACTGCTTATGAAACTTGCGGCAAAGCACTTACTTTTGTTGGTGTGAATTTGTGCTAGTAACTTAAAGAAGTTAGTAACATTTGTGTTATTTAGTATTATTTCCATGATAGAATTAACATTGATTGGTGATTGTGACTGACAGAATTTTAATGTTTCGAAAATGAACAGAGCAAGTTCATAATTTACATATCACCAAGAATATTGTCTGTTAACTTTTAAAGTACCAGGCCTTTAAATCATTGTATCCGCCGCTAGCCAGAATTAAATTCCACAGTTACCCTGCACAGATCATGTGTTTCAATAAAACATTGTAACTTTCTTAAAAGCCCACATACAACAATAAAATAAGATACCACGTTATAAAGGAAAGTTTATTTTACCACTTGGAACCATTCTTCATGCTGTAGCTCTACAAATTAATTTCTAAGTGAAAGGAATGTTACACATATTTATGTTTTATGATATCATTAATTTCTTATTTTAAAAAAAATTGTGATATTAATGTATTTGCCTTAAAATTTGAATGCATCATGTAAACATTTATTCTAGAGTATAACCAAAAATAAGGAGGTAATTCCCACTTATAAATCTTAGTTCTTAGTTGTTAAGGGAGGATATATAAAAATATTTATATAAAAAGGAGCCCTTTTGACAAGAAAATTTATTTAGGTTGTAGGGTCATCCTTCTAGAGCACACTGACATTGTTTTAGAACCCAATGTGACGATCACAAAGCCATGCTACACATTGTGATGTGTGCCGTGTCTTAAAAGACACTCTGGGGCCCTTAAAGGTTAAGTGATGTAGTAATATTAATGCATACAGCTTAATTGCTAGAGTCCATCATTCAAGACACTTTCTATACTTAGTTAATACACTCTACATACTTACTTTAATATATGCAAGAAATGTATTTAATTAATTTTAATTCTGTATTTATTTCCTTATCATAAACCTTGAATTCGTGTTAATGCATTCATGTTTCATATTCCAGAGATCTGAAACTCGACAACATATTGCTTGATTTTGATGGCCATGTTCGTATAGCAGATTTTGGGATGTGTAAACTTCAGATCTACCTAGACAGGACAGCAGATACCTTCTGCGGAACACCTGATTACATGGCCCCAGAGGTTAGTCAGATTCACGATTTCTTCAAAAATTCGTGAAAATATTCTACTGAATACATGTTATAACCACCATTGCATCTCCCAATTAAAGTTACGGTGTCTGCTCTGGGATGTGAGAAGGGTTTATGTGGGTGTTTAAATAATAATGACTGAGGAAACACTGTCTCGCTGTTGTAATAATTCTTACAACTAAAGACTGATAAATAATTGTCTTTAATACTTGAATAGTTTATTGTTGAACTGTTGTTTACAACCTTATAATACACTTACCAACCTGTTATCATTGCACACCTCCAACCTTCATAATGTATTAGTCTGTCCTGGGCATGACATTAAACTGCGTCCACAGACCGAGTGACCACCGGTATAAGTGGTCCCTCTCTACCAAGTGCCAACAGCCTCTTCAGAGGTTAAGGGACCCTCATGCCCTTAGGGTGAGAAATCACCCCTGAAGGCGGATGAACACGGATGGGTCAACGGCATAGGATGCGGAAGGCAAGGGGAATCCACCGCATTAAAGATCCTTAGGATTTCCCAAGTATCAGCAGCTTTAAAGCTACTGCCGACCAATCCTAGGATTGATTACAAAAAAGAAGAATATATTAGTTGTTGTATGTCTTGGTATGAAATTCTGATTACACAAGCTCTCACTTTAATTGCCTCTTACTACATGAGTGAGTACTTTGCGGTCTTTTCTCTCCTGACTCTAGCGAAGGACTCGCATTTAAGTTGGCTAAACTGAGCGCCTAATCATTTTGATACAGCAACAGTCTGGTGGGCCTTCTACCACACAGCATTAGAATCAATACTCAGTATGTTTCAGCACAATATCCAACTTTCACTCAGGATAAGCAGATTATTATTATCAAACCAGAATTCACTCCCACCAAGGCCATGTACCTCACGTTGACCAGAGACAATATAGATGCGAAGTCGATAATTACTATGAAGCTGGAGCCTTTCTTCATGAAACACAAAAGTTGATACTCTGAATACTTTCTTAGATTCAAAGACTTGCTTTACTGTAAAAATATTAAACACGTGACTTTCCTGCCTGTAATCTTAGTTACGCATCCAGTAAAATATGTTGTGCCATCTTCTTTATTCAGTTTTCTGAGATTTTAGCAGCTTTTTCTAGCAATTATTTAAATAACCTGATGCCTTTATAATTACTTCAGTAATTATGATTCTGTATGATTATGGATATTCCCCAATCTTCTGATGTGTCCTTCAGGTTTCGTTGTGTGCATCTCTGCGGTTTATGCTTTATGCTCCGTTCATCTCATCCTTCTTGATTTGTTGACCCTAACAGTATTTAGAGAAATATATAAAAATTACAAATCCCTTCATTATGTAAATTTCTTCAGGTTCCTGCCGCCTCCTCCTTTATGGTTTAGACATTCTCTTCAGTACCCTGTTCTGAGATACCTTCCATGTTTGTTCCACCATTACGGTGAGAGACCAAGTTTAACACAGGCCTGTAACTCACTAATTTTCTCCAACATCAGTCATTAATGAGATAATTTGACACTGATTTTGCTTCATTAATCTTTCAATATCAGATTTAATTTCTGTTGCTGCGATTCACATACATTCCTCAGTAAGATGTCTCCTAGTTCTTGATTTGATGTTCTTCGTTAAGCCGTGCAGTTGCTCGCAGCAGCACGAATGGCCAAATACTGACATTGACGAGATAAGTTTTCTGATGTAAGGTAATTCATACAGTCTGTACAAAAACATTGACAGGCTGCGTACAGCCTACAAGTTGAGAACCGTCAGTCTATAGGGACTTAATTTAAATTTCATTTAAGTGCATTTTAATCAGTCGGACTAGTTTCAGCGCCTTGGAACTACATTTAAATGCCCATATCACTACCTGGAAGTGATCAATAAATCATACTTAACTGGTAAGATTCTTTGGTCTTTCACTGCGCTGAGTTTGCCTCATCATTGTTCTACAGACAAATGGTGTCTTATCAGAATATGATACCAAGAAGTTCATTTGGCGAAGTGTTTACTGTCTGTATGATTCATAACATCATGTTTGTTTTACTGAAACAGATTATAAAAGGCCTGAAGTACAATCAGTGTGTGGACTGGTGGTCCTTTGGCATTCTGCTCTATGAAATGTTGATTGGTCAGTCTCCGTTCAGTGGCTGCGATGAAGATGATCTCTTCTGGTCTATTTGTAATGAACAGCCACACTTCCCCAGGTTCCTGTCACGAGAAGCCAATAGCATACTCTCTCTGGTAAGCTGTTTAAAATTCTGTAAACTTTATTGAAGTTTTGCTAACTTGGTCTGTTGTGTTAGACATTGAAGAATATGCTTAAGTACAGTGACAATTAATGTAATAAACTACATTAAATTTATATAGAAACTTGCCATCATGTTATGTTTCCTTATTCAGTAATGTAACTTGCACTACAGTGCATCTATTGTGAAGAAGGGAATATGTTTTCTTATGAAATTTCAGTTTCAATGATGCCAACCATATGAAGTAAAATTTCCCATTTATATTCTCTCACACTTGTCTCTAGTGTAGTTATGTTTCATCATTAAGATGAGAGTGAAAGTAAGTCACAGTTTACTAATTTAGTTTTACATTTTCAGGACTGAAGTGAGTATGTTAAGAATTGAATAATTTATATAGGGTTAGGAGAAGAACCTGGCCAGTGTTCTGACCAATCAGAGCCAAGAGATGAGGAGAAAATAGGGAGATGGTCAGGGCCAATAGGAAACAGCCCCATACAGGGAACCAGAGAGGAAGGATGGATCAGGAGAGAGAAAGAGGAAGAATTTACCCTTTAACCTTTGGCATTTATCTCATCTTGGCAAGGTCACACATAGATATGGCATAACATCTAATGGATTTTACATGTCCCTGTGCCTAAACGCTATACCATGAAGACCCTAGATGGAGATAAGTGGTCAACTTCATGCTGTGGCCACTTTACCCATGAATGACAAGCCTGCATACTAACTGTGCTGTCCTTCCTCATCTAATTTACTTGTACCATTATCAATATTATGCAATTCTGTCATTGCAGTTGCTGGAAAAAGATTCATCAAAACGACTGGGAACGAGTGAGTGTACGGCAGGAGATGTGGTGGACCAGCCATTTTTCCGGAATATGAACTGGAATGCCCTGGAACGTCGTGAACTTGAGCCGCCGTTCAAACCCAGAGTGGTATGTATGCTATTGACCTGATACAGCAATAAGTGTACCACATCCTCTGAGATATTTTCTTCTTAGGCACAAGAGGTCTTGTACCTCAAGTGCCAGCATATATTTACTCAAATTGCATCCCACATGACCCAAGATCTCTGCATCATTATTGTATTTTAAAAATTAATAATTTTAATATTAATTTTATGAAGTTTGAGCATATCTCATAATTAAACAGCATAATAGATAATAATGATTAATGAGTTTTAATGTAAGATTTGAGGCTTTCACAGTGGTGAGTATGAAGATTTCTGTCTTCTGGGTTTTTGCGCTGTGTAGTCTGGTCGATGTTAACCAACGTTTCAGAGGTCATACTGCCTCC